GCGAAGGTCTGGAAGAAGTCAACCCCCTCACGCTGACTGAAGCCCCTAGCCACGTAGCGCGCCTTGAACACCGGCGGTGCTCCAGGCGGCCGCTTCACCTTGAAGAGCCACATGCCATCGACTACGTTCGCCCTGGGAGGGGGAACTGCGTTGACGTAGGTGCCTGTGGATCTCCAAGACGCCAACTCTGAGTCCATAGCCGCTTTCCACTGAGAGGCCCACTCCCCTGACACTGCCTCGCGGTAAGTGCGAGGAGTCGGTATGTCAAGGGCGTCGGGGTCTCCCTCAGGGGAGAGCAGCATGGCACACACAGAGGGAGAAGCGGCTGCCCAGTACTCCAGCTCAGACTCTCTGTCCTCTAGGACGTCACAGCCAAGGGCAAACTCACCCCCGACGGACAGAGGACGGTAGGGAGGAGCTGGCACCACACGGGTGGCGTAGTCAAGGCGGCTGGCGGCAGCAAACTCAGCGACAGCGGCAGTAAGAGCAGAGACAGACGACGGAGGGAAACGAGAGTCGGTGACAAGAGTGGCGAGGACACGTGCGGCAACAGGACGAACAGCGCGGTAGTAGTCAGTGATAGGAGTGGGGAGGGCTGGGAGAGAGGACGGAGGAGGAGACGGGAGAACGGACACAAGAGAAGGAGAACGACGACGAGACGTACAAAGGAGGGCAGTGTGGAGGTCAGTAACAGGGGACGAGTGACGAGCACGCGGAGGACAACGAGTGATCAAGTCGTGACGGACCGAAGGAGGAGGAGACTGAGGAGGAGGAGAAGACCAGACCGCCGGACGGTCGTCAGGAGGAGGCAACGGAGGACCCAAAACAGGAGGAGACTGGGAGCGGACAGGAGGAGAGGAGGAAAAGCCAAGGGCCCGCAGGCCACTCACAGGTGGGAACAACTGCCGCTCCAGAGGAAGCTGCGGTGGCGGCTGCGGCTGCTGCGGCTGCTGCTGCTGCGGCTGCTGCTGCTGCTGCTGCTGCTGCGGCTGCTGCGGCTGCTGCTGCCACTGCTGCTCCAGAAGGTCCAGCTCCCGCAGCTCCTGCCGCTCCCTCTCCAACCGCTCCTGCTCCTCACGCTCACGCCGACGGGCAGCCTGGAGACGCGTGTCGTGGCGGTGGGGAGGCGGAGTGGACTCCGCAGAACCAGGGTCTCCAGCTCCAGTCTCCTCAGACCCAGCACCCCCAGAACCAGCACCTCCAGTGTCAGTGCCTCCAGAACCAGCACCTCCGACTCCTGCACCCCCAGAAGCAGCACCCCCAGTGCCAGTACCTCCAGCTCCAGCACCCTGCGACCGAGCACCCCCAGACCGAGCACCTCCAGTGGCAACCCCCCCAGCGCCAACACCCCCAGAGGCCGCAACCACCTGTCGCGGACGTGCCGAGGGCTGCTGAGGGGACTGGGAGGAGGACTGTGGGGAGGGAGACGCGACATGACGTGCGATTGACGGCAGAGGGGTAGCGTGAGACACACCAGACGGGGCAGGACCAGGGGGGGGCGGTGGTACCGGAGGAGCGGGGACAGGAGGAGGAGAGGGGGCGAGGAACAGGGGGGGAGGGGGTACCGGGAGACCTCGACAGGGGTACCGGGTGTAGTAGGACACGGACTCGTCGAACCTGACGTCACGGGAGTCGAGGAACTGGTGGAGGGGCGGGTGGTAAAAGGACCAGTCAGCAGAGTCGACCGGGAAACCAAGGAAGACACAGTCGACGGCGCGTGCCGAGAGCTTGTCCGCAGAGGTGTCGCGGACTTGCGCAAGGCAGCCCCAGACTCGAAAGGCCGACCCAACACCAGGGGAACCAGTCCAAAGACTGGTCGGTGAAACCTCGGGCCGCGAGACACGCGGCTGGAGGTTCAGCTGGTGTGCGGCGTAGCGAACCGCGTAGGGCCACAGAAAATGGGGCGCACGGGCATGGATCATGGACGTGCGGGCGATGTCCATGACCAAGCCAATGCGGCGCTCAGCAACCCCATTATGCTGTGGGGACTCTGACAGCCTCCAGGACTGTACAATATCCTGCTCGCCGCAGAATCCGCCGAGAATGCCGGAGCGAAATTCACCCCCACGGTCGGAGTGGAGACAACTGACTTGACGACCACGAGTGCCCTCAGTGGCTAGAAGCCACCTGATCAGCGTAGCAGTCACCTCGAACTTCTTCGCAAGAGGGAACACTGTGGTGTACCTGGAGTAGTCGTCGACGACCACCAGAAAGTAACGCTCCCTCCCAGACCCCTGCGTCGGGGCAGGGCCCCAGACGTCCAAGTGGAGAGTCTCGAAGGGAGCGGTGGCCGGACGAAGGGAGGAGGAGTGGGGAGTGGCGCGTAAGCGACCGGCGACGCACGGAGAGCAAGGAGGGGCAAGCGAGGGAGGGAGCGACGGGAAAGTGCGTGGGAGACCTGCGACAAGTCCCTGACTGAGCATGCCACGAAGGCGAGGGATTGACGGGTGGCCAAGGCGGTGGTGCCACAGGACGGTGCGGTGGGCGAGAGAGCGACAGGAGCAAGACGCAGCGACTGGACTGGACACAGCGACCGGACCGGACACGACTACCTGGCTCGACACAGCAACTGGACTGGGGACCTGGGCTGGAGAGGACGCAACGACCTGAGGGGAGGACGCGACTGGGGAGCGCTCGGTGTGGAGAACGTAGAGACCGGAGCGGGGCTCCCAGGTGAACGTGGCCAGAACAGCACCTGTGGTAGCGTCTGTACAGACTGCAGACCGCCCACCCCCCACGAAGGTAACCGTGATCCCCCTGTCCTGGAGGTATCCAACACCCACCAAGTTCCGAGTGAACGAGGGGATGTGGAGGCCGCGCAGGACACCAGAGGGGACCACAAGGCACGGGAGGGTAGTGGAGCTACGCGCAACGGCTGGTCCAGAGGTAGGATCAGCCAGAGCCACTGACACAGGAGTGAGGAGTGGCGTAAGGGTCGTGTGGTCGCGGAAGAAGCACTGAGACGCACCCGAGTCCAGCGTGAACGGCAGAGAGGCCTCAGCCGGAGAGTCACCTGACCCAGTCGCTACACAAGCACCTAGGGCAGCAACACAAGCACCTAAGCGAGACAGGCACAAGGCTACACTAGCAGGAGGCAAGCAGGCTAAACTACGAACACGCGAGCACACAGATCCATCAGCACTAAAGTTAGCATCAACATACAAAGCATGCTGACGCGCATCGTCCATGGACAGATCAAAGACATCAATCTTACGGGCTAACAGACGAGACCAGCGAGGCGTGACCGCCAGAGGGCCCCAACGAGCCCGGTAGAGGTCGTCGAGGCGGCGGAAGCACCGCGCGGCAGAGTGGTCGTCGCGACCACAGAGACAGGGGCTGCCCGGCCCGGTGAGGCACCAGTGGGTGCAGGGGCCAGCGTCACGGCAAGGGGGGCGAGGGGCCCAGCTGGTAGAGCTGCTGCTGCGGCCAGTGCTCCCAGGGCCTCCCGGACCCCACTGCGGCGGGGGACCCCAGTGCTGCTGCGGACCCCACTGCAGCGGGGGCCCCCACTGCTGGAACTGCTGCGGTGCCTGCTGCTGCTGCTGTCCCTGCTGTGGCTGCTGCTGCTGGGGGGCAACACCCCCACCGGTCGGGCCACCACCTGTGGGTGGACCTGTCTGTCCTGCACCTCCTCCAAGGCCCCCTCCCCCTGGTGCACCACCGCCGCCGCCGCCGCCGCCGCCTCCGCCACCACCGCCGCTCCCACCTCCACCGCCCCCTCCACCGCCGCCTCCTCCGCCCCCACCTCCCCCCTTCCCGCCCTTCTTGCCACTCTTGCCCCGTTTCTGCCAGTCTGCGGCAGAAACGGCAGCGGTGTCCTCAGAGACCGACACAGCAGCAGAGGCGCGGGTAGCGGTGAAAGTGGGAAGCTGAGGGGCGGCACACCCCGCAAAGAGACGGGGGGCCACCGCATCAGTGGCGGAGGCAACGGTGAGGAGGCTGCTCTCGATGGTCCCGAGAGCAGTCTGAAGGAGGTCTATAGTGAGTTCAGTGGGGTGCTTCTGAAGAAGCGCGTCACGGGCAGTGGCAAGGCGGTCAGGGAGGCGGGTGACTAACCAGTGCACAGTGAGCCACATGGGGGGGGAGCAACAAGGAGCTGTGCGTCGGTACAGGCCGAACGAAAACCGGCGTCAAGCGAGCGGAGGAGAGTCACTAGGTCGGAAACAGTCGCAAACGAGCCTAGGTCGGGAAACACGAACGGCATGCGGAGGCGACTGAGGGAGGCGGAGGAGGGGGTGGAATAGCGGGCAACAATAGCATCCCAAACCCCCTGTGCTGTCTCCACCTTGTCAAAGTGGGCGGCCTCAGTTGGGGGGAGAAGCTCCGACAGCGTGAGAGCGGCGGCAGCGTCAGGAGAGAGCCACACGTCCCGTGCCAGGACCCGACGCTCGTAGTCCGCCTGGGCCGTAGGAGTCGGCTCCGGGGCAATCGGGAGGGCGGCGGGGGACGGGGGGGCCTTGAGGGCACCAGACGCGTGGGCCCACAGAGTGGCGCCGTCCTGACGCTGGCTGGTAAGGAAACGCGTGGTCTGGCGCTGCCAGGTACCGAACTCTATCGGGCGTCCCTTCGCATCGAAACGAAGGCGACGGGACTCCATAACGGAGGCCATGCTAGAGGCGGCCGGAGCTCGGCGGAGGCGGAGCTAAGAACGAGGAGGGAAGCCTAGGAGCGCCAGGTGTGGCGCGGTGTGAGACCGGCGGAGCTAGAGGCTAGGAGCACGGAGGGACCTAGTCTAGGCGTGAAACGGCGGAACTCCAGCTACATGCACTAGGGGCGAGGAACTAGCAGGAACACGGGTCTACCCTAAGTGGCCGGCGAAAGAAAGCGGCTGCCAGCCGCTGAGGGCGAGACCAGTGGCAAAAGAGTTGTCTAGGGCCCCGCGCGCAGGGCGGTAGTGGGGTTTGGGCGCGTGCCAATCGCGGGTGGGAACGGGCTAACGCGGAGGCGCGAGCCTAGGTGAGGGCGAGGGCACGGTGGGCTCGGGGGGAGGGCGCACGACGTTAGGAGAGGGCGGGGAGGAGGGTGCGTGACGGTAGGAAGGGGTAGGGCGGAGGGCGCAACGGTGAGAAGGGGCGAGGAGGAGGGCGCGACGGTAGGACAGGGGCGGGGATGGGAGGGCGACGCGACGGGCAGGGGAATGGGAGGCGAACGCGACGGGCAGGAGGAGGGGAGGCGACGCGACGGGCAGGGGGAAGGGAGGCGACGCGACGGGCAGGGGAAGGGGAGGCGAACGCGACGGGCAGGAGGAGGGGAGGCGACGCGACGGGCAGGGGGAGAGGAGGCGACGCGACGGGCAGGGGAAGGGGAGGGGGGGGGCGACGCGACGGGCAGGGGGAGGGCACGACAGTGGGAGGGGCCGGGCTAGGCGTGCGTTGAGGGCGCGGAGGGCGCGGAGGGCACTAACGTGCGGAGGGCGCGGAGGGCACGAACGTGCGGAGGGCGCGGAGGGCACGGAGGGCACGAACGTGCGGAGGGCGCGGAGGGCACGGATGGCACGGAGGGCGCTAAGGCGCGGAGGGCGCTAAGACGCGGAGGGCGCGTGGGCGCGGAGGGCGCTAGGGCTAGGCTAGGGCTAAGGAACTCGAACCTACTATGATACCATCTCAAGAGTAGAATGCAACGGAATGAGTGGAATTAGGGTTTGCAAGGGTACAAATAGGAATCCTACAAAAGCTATACTCTCTAGGGAGTACCTCACTGCAGCCTATCATAACATTAACATTTGACATGAGTTGCATGTTAGGGCGTACATAGAATTTCTCGACACTTTGCTTCTACTCCCCCCCTTGACCTAATCTCATCATTCTCCGCTACCGGTACTCTAAGATGGTATAACGCTAGGTTCGTTCTAGCCCGTTACCTCTGTTGCACGCCCTCACCTACCTCCGTAGGGTGCCCTCCCTCCTAGCCGCCCCAGCCAGAGCTTCGCGCGCCCCTGCTAGAGCAGAGCGCGCCCCAGCCAGAGCAGCGCGCGCCCCTAGCCAGAACCGCGCGCCCCAGCCAGAGCGCGCGCCCCTAGCCAGAATTGCGCCCCCCAGCCACCTACAGCTCTTCATAGCCGCATGCAGCCCTTCCCAGACGCCCACAGCTTTTCCCGGCCGGCCACAGCCCTTCCCAGCCGGCCACAGCCCTTCCCAGCCGTCACAGCGCACCACATCTGCCACTTCGACAGCACGCACCCGTGCCTTACCTACCTACGCCCCACCCTTGCAGCCGCCACCCGTGCCTATTGTCTCCAACCCGCTACTGGCAGCCGCACTTACTTCTACTGGCGCGGATTAGGGTTAGTACCCCGATGTTACTGGCGTTCCTAGCCCCGTTCGCTCCTCACTCCAGCCACTCCTAGCTCCAGCCGTGCCTAGCTCCAGCCACCTCTAACTCCAGCCACTCGTGCTTCAGCCGTTCTAGCTCCATCCGTTCTAGCTCCAGCCGTTTCTAGCTCTAGCTTGGCGTCCCTTGTCACTCCTCGCTCCAGCCGCTCCTCGTGCCAGCGTTCCTAGCCCTAGCTGTTCCTACCTCTAGCCGGTCCTAGCTCCAGCCACTCCTCCTCCAGCAGCACCTAGCTCCAACAGTTTCTAGCTCCAGCCGTTTTTATCTATAGCCTGCGGTTCCTTGTCACTCTGTGCTCCGGCCGTTCTTAGCTCCAGCTGTTCCTCCCTCCAGCAGCTCCTAGCTCAAGCCACTCCTGCTCCAGCAGTTCCTCGCGCCAGTTGTTCCTAGCCTGCCTCCTCTTTGCCCAGCTAGTTCTGGGGGTGCTGGAGCTGGGGGTGCTAGTTCTGAGGAGACTGGAGCTGTAGGCACTGCTACTGCAGCGCCTACCCCACCTCCCCACCGCTACCTGACGAGTTACCATAGGCTTCGTCAGTTGGAGCGCGAGGAGCGAGAGCAGTTGGAGCAGGAGAGGATGGAGCTGGTGCGGCCGCAGCACGAGCTGCTGCAGCAGCAGCAGCTCTCAAATTATATAGTTTGTATTGTTCTAGTCTAGGTGTATTACTTTTGTCCTAGGTTTAGGGTTAGAGTTTTTTCTCCCTGTCCGGTTTTTCTCACGCGCGACCGTAGAACGCATGCCCCGCGGCCCACGCGTTAGCACGCCCCGCGGCCTTCAGTAGCGGGCCTCGAGGCCTTTGCTCGACGGCCCCGTGGCCTACGCTTAGCTGGCCCCGCGGCCAAAACGTACGACCGCCGTCGCCCGTTCGACCCCCCCCCCCCCCCGTCCGTTTTTTCTCGCGCGCGACTGTAGTACGCAGGCCCCGCGGCCCACGCGTTAGCAGGCCCTGCGGCCTTCAGTAGCGGGCCCCGAGGCCCTTGCTCGACAGCCCGGTGGCCTGCGCCTAGCTGGCCCCGTGGCCAAAACGTACAACCGCCCAGACACGACCGCCCCACCCCTTAGCCGCCCGTTGCCGCCCGCTGCCGCCCGTCCCTCCCGCCCAAACTTACCCTAAACCGCCTCTCAACCGCACTAGACCACTCCTAGCCGTGAGAAACCGCCCTTCACCGCACTAAATCACTCCCAACCGCGAGATACCGCTCCCACTTCACTCAACCTGTCTCAACCGCCCTTCACCGCTCTAGACCCACCAGAACTGCACTCCACCACATCAGATCGCCTCCCACCGCTCTAGAAGCAGCCTAGACTGCCACCAATCGCACCAGGAGAAGCACAAGCTGCCCCCAGCGCACCAACAGCAGCCTAGGCTGCCACCAGTAGCACCACAAGCAGCTTGGGCTCCCACGAGTAGCACCAACAGCAACCTCCACTGCCGCCTGTAGCACCAGCAGCAGCTTAGGCTGCCACCAGTAGCACCAACAGCAACCTCTACTGCCGCCAGTAGCACCAGCAGCTGCTTAGGCTGCCACCAGTAGCACCAGCAGCAGCTTCCACTGCCGCCAGGGCAGTAGCAACAGCCTAGGCTACCACCAGTAGCACCAGCAGCAGCATAGGCTGCCCCCAGTGCACCAGCATCAGCATAGGCTACCACCAGTAGCGCAAGCAGCAGCCTAGACTACCACCAGTAGCACCAGCAGCAGCTTCCACTACCGCCAGCGCACTAGCACCAGCCTAGACCACCACTTTCAGTCTCGCCAGCACCAGCCTAGGCCGACCTACCACTAGTACTGCCGCCTCGACTGGCCCCTACCCCCGTACTAGCGTGCCATGTCGATGTGGCGACAACGACAGCAGCAGCAGCAGTGGCCGCAGCAGCAGCAGTGGCAGCAGCAGCAGTGGCCGCGACAGCAGTGGCCGCAGTAGCAGCAATGGCTGCAGCACCGGTGGCCGCCGCAGCAGCAATGGAGGGTTCAGCAGCAGCGCCTGCGGCAACCTTTACCACGGGGCCCTGTCAGACCCGGCCAGTACACACACCGGTACGTGGGAGCTGCAGCTGCTATTGAGACTTGTGTTTCCAGTCTTGGTGCGTGTATAGTTTCCGGTCCTGGCGCCTCAGAGGTTCTTAGTGTGGGATCTGCAGCTACCACTAGTCTAGTACCAGCCTTTGTCGCTGGCTCGGGTGCGGCCTCACCGACTGCACAGCTTTCCTTCACCCTAGACTCTGGAGCGTCCAGCTGTTTCTTTCGCGACTGCACCGACCTCACGCCGCTGCACACTCCAGTCACTGTCGCCTTAGCTGACCCCTCCGTGGGATCTGTTGTTGCCCACAGCACCACCACTCTCTCGTGTCCGGCGGCTCCCTCTAGTTTTCTCACAGGTTACTACACCCCCTCGTTCTCTAGGAACTTGGTGGGTGTCAGTCACCTCCACGACCTCGGAGTTGTCACCATTGTCCCTCTACGCGAGCCTGTTGCCTCCTGCACAGTCGGTGCCACTGGGGCGCCACTGGCCACCTTTCACAGGGAGCCAGGCTCTGGTCTGTACTCGTTACACATTGGGTCAGGTCAGGTCAGGTCAGGTCAGGTAGCTGCTGTGTTGTGCGACTGTCGGTCACTCACCCAACCCGTCGGTCCTCTGGCACCACCGTCTAGGACACCCGTCCTTCCCGCGTCTTAGTAGGATGGTACACCACCGTCTGGTCTCAGGTCTCCCAGAGTCGCTCGCTCCGCTCCCCCGCTCGCCTGTGCCGCCGTGCACTCCTTGCGTCGAGGGTCGGCAGCGCGCTGCCCCTCACTCCTCGTTCCCCCCCACCACGGCTCCGTTACAGACCCTTCACTTGGACATCTTGGGCCCTTCCCCGGTCCTTGGCCCACGTCAGGAGCGCTACTTCCTGATTATGGTCGACGACTACTCCCGCTACACCACGGTTTTCCCCTTGCGATGGAAGGCCAACGTGCCTACCGTCCTCGAGCCGTGGCTATTAGCGAGGGGTGGCGTGGTGGGCCTGTGTGGGCTCTGTGTGTGGGCTGCCTACACTCGGACCGTGGTGAGTTTTCTTCCACTCGCCTGGAGACGTTCTGTCAGGGTCGGGGGATTTTCCAGTCTTACACGCTACCAGACTCGTCGCAGCAGAACGGGGTAGCCGAGCGACGCATCGGCCTGGTCATGGAGGTTGCCAGGACCTCCATGTGCCATGCCGGTGCCCCCCAGTTCCTGTGGCCTCAGGCAGTCCGCTACGCTGCGCACCAGCTGAACCTGTGGCCTAGTCACGGCCACGGGTGACGCCGATCTGCCTTTGGACAGGTTCTCCGGGCGTAGCAGCCGACTACCGCGTCTGGGGTTCCCTGGCCCACGTTCGCGCCCCTGGCGCGAACAAGTTGTCTGCACGCACCCGTGCCTGCGTCTTTCTTTGCTTCCCACTCGACGCCTCAGGCTGGTTGTTCTACGACCCAGTCACCCACCAGTTTTTTGCCTCTCAGGACGTCACCTTCGACGAGTCGGTCAGATACTACAGGAGTCGCCCCCACCGAGGTTCTGAGGCCTTTACCCCCCCGCTGTTCCTCACCCCTGAGCCCCCTCCCCCCTTCGCCCCGGTAGCTCCCCCCCCTTTGCGTCCTGCCCCGTCAGGTGTGTCGCACGTCACTCCGCAGTCTTCTCCCCCGCAGCGTCCTGTCTCTGTCGTGTCTGGGGGTGCGGGAGGTGCGACTGCGGAGGGTGGGGGTACTGGGGTTGCTGGACCTGGTGGTGCTGGCTCTGGGGGTGTAGGGGGTGTGAGGGTGGAGACCTTTCTTGAGGAGGACATGGCTGTCTCGACTCGGCGGTCCAGCCCCGGCTCACCCCCTGGCTTCCCGTCTGTCCCACAGTTTCCTCCCCGTTTGTCTTAGTGGCTGGTAGCTGCGGAGCCTGGGGGTGTTCCTGCGGGAGGTACTGGAGACACCGGGGGTGTCGTTGCGGGAGATTCTGGTTCTGGGGGTGCTGGAGCCGCAGACACGAGCACTGCGACGCCTACACCGCGCACTGTACGTTTCCTGACCCGTGTGCAGCGTCTGGACTGGTTGGAGAGGGAGGAGAGGGAGCGGTTTCAGAGGGCACGACAGCAGCAGCAGCAGCAGCAACAGCAGTCTCAGTCGGATCGTCAGGAGAGAGTAGAGGAGGAGTCACAACCGCACCAGGAGAGAGTAGAGGGGCAGTCACAGCAGCAGCAGCAGCAGCACCAGCAGCAGCAGCACCAGCAGCAGCAGCAGTCTCAGTTGGTGCGTCAGGAGAGAGTAGAGGAGGAGTCACAGCCACAGCAGGAGAGAGTAGAGGAGGAGTCACGACTGGAGCAGCAGGTGCAGTTGCAGCCGCAGCAGAAGAGAGTAGAGGAGTCACGACTGCCACAGCAGGTGCAGTTGCAGCCACAACAGGAGAGGGTAGAGCAGGAGTCCCGTCCGCAGCAGCAGGTGCAGTTGCGACCGCACCAGGAGAGGGTAGAGCAGGAGTCCCGGCCGCAGCAGCAGGTGTTGTTGCAGCCACAGCAGGAGAGAGTAGAGGAGGAGCCACAGGAGCAGCAGAAGGGGCAGGTGCCGTAGCAGCAGTCGCCAGAGGAGGCAGAGCAGCAGCGACTTAGAGACCTGCCCGACTCAGCACCTGCACGCTTTGTTCGTGGTCCCCTGCCGTCCCCTCCAGTTCCCCCTGTCGAGTCCCTTTCCTCGTCCCAGTGGACTCGTCGTTCTCCCCTTGGTCGTG